ACAGATGGGTTGCTGACAGAACTGAGAGCGAATCCTGAAAAAAACATAAATGGAAATTGGATAGATACTATTAACAAGAGCAGAAGAACAAAACAAGACAAAAGCACAGTTCAAGTGTGCTATGATAGGGTGGCTATTCTCAACAAGAGCTGAACTTGGCACAATTCTAACAGTCCTTTTAGTGGTCTCAGAAGAAGCAGTTTTACAAGTAAATACAGATAGCCAAGCAGCAATTCAAGCGATCAAGAACGTAGGAAAAATGAACAAAATGAGAAGCTACTTCAAAACAAAAAATAAAAGCTTAATATAGCAAATCGAAAGAGTAAGAAGAATCAAGAGAATCAGATTAAAGATGCACAAGATAAAAGGCTATAGTGGAGTTGAAGATAATGAAGAAGCAGACAAACTTGCAAGAGAAGGTACTATATTAAACAATTTCATAGAAGTTCAAGTCCCTTGGAATGAATATATGCAAGTAGCACCAATCTGGAATAAATTGACAATCGACTACCCAATATGAAAGTTTGTAAATCAAGTTATGATATCAATACTAGATGCAGAATGGGCAAGTTTGAAAAGGATAGAAACATGAGTGGAAAAGAAAGGAGATAAGAAAGTTGACTGGAGAGAAATATAAAGATATATAGAAGAAGTAAAGGATAACAATTGTTTAGATAGTAAAAATAATAATAGATGGATTTTTAGAGTTAAATATCTTAACGAGTTACTGCCAACAATGTCAGAACTAAAAACAAGAAGGCCAGATTTATACGAGACAGATAATGCATAATTTGTTACACAGAACCCAAAATGATAAATCACCTAGCAAGCTATAAAGAATTCCAAAAAGTCTGAAGTATAATAGAAAAAGAGATAATAGAAGACGTGATCAAAATACTCAAGAAAAAAAATAATACAGACCCAGATCTAGAAGAAAATGAAGTCAAGAGAAGTATCTTTAGCACAAAAGGCCCAGAAAGAATAGAGACAAGAAATTATATGATAAGAGGCCTAATACAAGACAAAAAGAAAACAAGCATCGAGAGCCTAGCACAAGGCAGGATCATAGCTAGAAAGGTGATAGGCAAGGCACTAAACAAGTTCGGGGAGAGATTTTGCCAACATATATAGAATCTCAGATGTGAACTTCAAATGAATAGGAAAAGAAAGAAGGAATCTCGAAAAAGGACAAAAGAATCAAAAAGAAAAAAGAAGCCAGAAGAATTTATGCAGACAAAAAAAACATCCTAGACCCAAAAGGAAAAAGAAAAGAAAAGTATAAAGAAGTGACATTTAGAAATATTAAGAATCTGGTTCGATATGAAGAAAAACCAATTTGGTCATCTCTAATGAGATGCAAAGTAAGTTTGAATTCATTGAAGTAAGGCAGTACTGACAAGACATATAGCCGCTAGCTGACGACTGAGGGAAAAAAAGTCTTTAGCAAGTTAGGGACCCCAAAGGAGACCAATGGCTACTAAGGCAAATCATATCGGACTTAGGCTTGATGAACCTTTTGTTTGGTTAGATTAGTATAGCTATAAATAGAAATTCATGTAATTTTTTGAATAGTTTTAATCTCAAATAAACAGAGGCAGATTGCTGAATTACAAAAAAATAAATTTAAAAAGAATGTTGCTAATTTATCTTCTGGTTATATAATTCGTATATATGATTAACCAATCAAATTGCAGGATCTTGTGTAATAAAAATGATAGTTAAAAATTAAAAAATTAAGAAAAAAACTAAAATCTTTAAATATTACAAAATTTTACTATATAAACCTATTTTGGGCTTTTAAATAAAGATTTACAGCTTACAAATTTGCATATATTTATATACTCTAACCTTAATATAATACTAACTCTAATCTTTAAATTAAAATTTGGCTTTAAGTTACAAAAGCTTATACATTAACGTGGTTATTTAACTACTAGTTAAAATTAATTATATTCATTTAAAAAAATATATTAAATACTATTTTTTTTAGTTTGTTTAGCTTTATTCTTTTGTACTCATCAGCCAATCTTGACTATATATTAATGTTTTAATAGTCTTTGGGCTTAGATTTGACTAATAGTCATCAATAACTTTTCTAGCAATACTAAATATTATATATATTAGCTAATATTAACAAGCTGCTATCTAACTAATTTCATTTACTGATTCTAAAGCTATGAACATAATTTGGATAGCAAGAATATTTCTTGCTATTAATACCATGAAAGAGAACTTTGATGTATTTTCTTTTTACTGTTACAGTATTGTAGCCTTTTTAATAGCAATATTATAATAATAACATAGCTACAAGAATCTTTCACAGGTTTATAGTAGTGTCTAACAAGTAAGTATAATTTCTACTAAAAACTATACTCTTCTGTCTGTAGTAGTTCAAGCAAACAATAGTTTATAGATAAAATATATGTTTTATTAGAAAGAATAAGATAGGCTATCTTTAGGTTCTTATTTCTAAAGAATCCTATAATATTACAAGAGAGAATTTAGAAAAAAAAGAAGTCTGAATATAAGAGTTGAATAGTAACAAGTCTAATATTAACTTAGAAAAATTTATATCCTTTTTATATCTTTAGGGCTAATCACTAATCATTGCAGCTAAGTATAGTTTACTTAGTGCTAAATATAAAATATAATTGCTAATTATTAAGCATTAAATACTAATCATTAATCGCTAAGTATTAAGCATTAAGCATTAATTATTAAGTATTAAGCATTAAGTATTAATTGTTAATCATTAATCATTAATTGCTAATCATTAATTGCTAATTGTTAATTGCTAATTATTAATTGTTAAGCATTAAGTGCTAAGTATAAGGCTGTACAAATAAATAAAATTGATTCTCATTACCTGGCTGGGTGTATTTTTTCTAAAAATTAGAATTTTTTTATAGTAATATATATAATTTTAAATAATCGTAAAATAAATGCTATACAAAAAAAACTATTTTCAACTCTTCCCAACGATCATCTAGTCAACAAAAATCAAGAAACCAAACTACGGTCAGCATTATAGAAGATACTAAAGTAAATAATAAACTTGGTTTTATAGAAGTAGGTGTGTTGTCGATGAAGTACCAAGAGTGTAAAACCGAGATGCGGTTTACTTTGGACTAGTTTTAGTAGAGGTCAAGCTTCTTGCTAGTAGACTTCTTTACTTTTATTCGGTATTCAAACCAGAAAGATTTTTTGAGAATACAGAGTGTCTAGGATGATACCAGGAATATTATAGCTTTGGATATCTCTATACAACTGTAAAATTTACAAGAAATAACTACAAAAAAGTTTTGTTAGCCTACTACTTTTTTTTTTGAGAAAATTTTGTCAAAAAGTGGGTGTCTCAGTTTATCCCCTCCTAAAGATCAATATGTAATTCACCAAAACAGTCAGTATTGTTTACCTGTTTACATAAGTCTGTAAATAGGATCACCAAAACAGGATAATGGACAGACATCTAGAATAAGCAACCATACAGACCGTTGATAACACAATGGTATACATATCTCAAACCGAAAAAACTATTGAACAATACTACAAGACTTTCCTATTTGGGCTACTTTGTCTTGTTTAGCTAACGTGGTTTTTATGTTTTTTACACTTATACATATATCATTAGGATAGAGTTAGATACAGAGCTTCTTTACCTATTAATATATAATTTTTAAGACCTGATACAGGTCTATAATCATAACCTATCAGATTCACTTTTTTCTTTTATTCTTATCTTTTGTTTTTGTATTTGTTTTTTAGTATTAGTTTTGTTTTTTTTTAGTATTTCCCTTTTAGTTTAGTATTAGTGTTAGTAAATTTTTTTTTTCTTTCTACTTCTCTACGAGAAAATATCATCAGATTGGCAATATTCTATTGTAGGGCGGTGGTCTGATAGAGCCCTTTCTGAGAGAGATAGTATTTCTTTTTTGAAAACTGTTGTGATGTATTTATATGGATATATCTGCTTAGTATGGCCGATCACTTGTAAGTGCTCTTGAAGTAACTGCAGGATGGCACTTCTCAATATTATGCTCAAAGCCGAATATATACCAATAATCATAAAGTAATAAAGGAGACTAAAGGCAAGATGGCCTAAGTGGAAAAAATAAAAATAAAAATGAATACTATAAGTCATATAATCATGCTTATATGAAGATCTGCAAAAATCATCCAATAGGTAATCACAATTTTGTATAATATAACAATATAACATGATCAGAAAAATTCAAAAATGTTTATTTTTGAAAGAGTTAGAAAAAATTGTTTGTTTTTCGAAAATTAGCATAAGAAACTACTTCTGTGCTCTAACAAAAAAATTTTCTTTGGTAATTTTACTATATTAATAAACCAAAATTCTATATAAATAATCTTTAAAGAATTTTATTGCATATTACATAAGTATAAATTTTTGTTAGCGATCCTGGGTAAAATAATATTCAATAAATATACAAGCAAGATCAAAAAAATATATAATATAGTAATAAAAGCTTTATTTCTTTTGTGAACCTGATTATTTTAATTATATTGAACTATACTCTTTGTCTAAAATGCAGAAATAAAGATTTAATATACATGTTAGATACAGAGAACTATTTTTTTTGAATTTGAATTTGATTTTCTATAATAGGAGTTATATTTTCTTTAAGATTATAGTGGTATTGGTTTTAGGCTATACACAATATTGTTACTACTTGATCATAATTACAAGATACTTCAGATCGACTTATTCTCCTATAGCATAAAGTGTAAGGCTAAAGGATATAAGATAAATTTATTTTATTTTATTTTTAGATAATTGAATTAAAGTATAGACCAACCGTATTTATGAAAACTTTATATTTTTCAGGCTTTCTGTAATATTTTATACAGATTTTTATTTCATTCTTTTTAACTAAAATTAGATAATATCCAATCAATTTGCAATTTTATTACTATTATTTATATTATTTATTATATATTTCTAAGCTCTCTCTGTTATATTGATATTTATTTTGCTAATTATTTTGCAATTTAGTATCTTTTTTTTCTTTTTTAGCTTTAACTGAAATATTGTATTCAAAACAGTATAGATGTTGATCAGCAGGAGTTGGTGAAAGGATTTTTGTATTGCTATACTAAAAACAAATATCAGGATAAAGACATGAAGAAAAGTATAGTACTTCTATAGGTGTTGAACAAGTAAGCTTAGTATTCACAAAGACATGCTTAAACAATATTTCTAAAGACACCTTATCTTGTTCTACAGGTGATTCATTAATATTATTTTCCATACTATCAGTATTATTGTCACTTTTATCATTAGTAACAATATCTATTATTAGATTATCATCATTATTATCATTAATATCTATTGTTTGATTATTGTCATTATTATTAATATCTATTGTCTGATTATTATTATTTAAAACTAATGGTGAACTAACTTTTGTGAGATCTGAAATTCTATAGAATATTGTATTATATATGTAATCAATTGTTTTTATAAAGTTTTTGAAAAGATTTTTTTCTTTGGCTTTAAATAGTATTGTAAGTAGAGTACTTGTAGTCTGTTGTATTCAATATACTTTACCAAAACATGCACATTTGCTATATTTTTACCTGGAGGCTGAAATCTATGCTATTGATACTGAGACTATTAATTATAGTTGATATAGATATATTGCCTTTTTGAAGTAAAGATGTATGGTATTTTCGCTAGTATCCTTATTATATATTTTACAAAATAGTATATAGTGATCTTTATTTGCTTTAGAAATAGAATCTAGAAAGGGTTGCAATTTTACAAATATATCAGATTTACTTCAGAGTAGTCTGCAATTTGTATAACCAGTTTTAGCTACTTGAACATTTTCTAATTTCAAAAAAATAAGTTCTTGATCGGCAACAATGGTTCATAAATTCAAAAATATAGGGCTAAATATATGCATTTATGAATGAGTTTATAACAATATTAAATTTTTTTTATAAATTGAAACTAACCTTATTTTCAATATGCTTTTGAGACATGTCTTTAGATACCAATAAATCATCCAATTCAAGTACTGACTCCTACAAGTGTTTAATTTCTTGATCTGTTGCTAATTCAAATATAAAAAAATTTTCTCTCTTGAGCTTTAATTGTTTAAAAATATCTTGTATAATGGTCTTAGTAGGTTATAAACTTTCAATTATTCTTTCTTTAAGTCGAGATACTGTTTTAGCATTATTACAAATTTTATTTATCATATTATAGCTTTTCACTAAACTTTTAAGCTCTTTATCCATTTCACTTCTTATAAAGCCAACATACTGCAGACCAAGGTTTAAAATAGATATAATGCATTCGACTAGGTTCTTCTATGAGTATCCTGAAAGTATTCGAATAGCAACTAACAAATCAAAATCTAAAGTCAAAAAAATTGCAATTAATACAAATTGTATTTAAAGAAAATTTACTTGATAGTCTAGCTCACTATCAGTGTAAATAAACAGATAAGGCTTGTCATCATCTTGGTTTTTCAAAATATTATACAATTCTATGATGTGTCACTTGATAGCTCAAATATATATTTTTTTAGCCCAACATGAATTTTCCTAATATAAAAAGATTCTTCAATTGTTTTAGATATATTATATAACATTGTAACACTTAGAATAATTTCATATTTTGTAAAATCATAATCACTAACAACAAATATTATATCATGATTAACAAGTACTCTCTTTCTATAGTCTACAGCTGCAACTGGATAACCTGGCTTACTAACTTTATAGTAGTATTTATTATCTATAAAAACAAGGTAGGCCTCATCCCAAAACATGATTGCTATTTCTTTTAAATATTGAAATAATGCTGATATATAATATAAATTAACATACTTATACTGAAGCTGATGAGTTTGGATTATAAATTTAATAGGCAAAATGCTAGTATACTATAAACTATTTTTATTTGTCAGTATAGTTAGCCAAAATTGTAGGTGAAGCCATTGGGTTGATAGGGTTAATTTTTTTATTTCCTTTATTATAATATCACAAAGATCATATACTAAAATAGCTTGTGCGAGATGCATAATTGGGTCATATCTTTTTTTATCTATAGCAACCACTGCTTCTTGCATAGTATTTTTCAAAAATTTTTTGCCTACAACCCAAAATTTATTATATTTACATGGCTAATCTTTGTTAAATTTTCTCAAATCACTAATGATTTTAGGATTATTTAGTTCAAAGGCCAATTTGATATGCTCATCAACTTCTTTTTGACTAGTCATTTCAGTAGCTAAAATATCATTTGTTAATTCTTTATATATGTGTCACAATTTGGCTTTCAGTTGTTTGTTTAGATGAAGGTCACATATATTCATATATTCTTTATATATATGATGTATATGATAAGTAGAAAACTATTTTTTTATTTCTGTTCTGATTTTATAATATTGATTAGATACTTCTTCTTCTTTCACTTCCTTATCTATATGCCAAATATATGTTGTATTACAAATGTTTCTATAATGATAAATATAGATTCTGACTTTAAATATGAATCCAACTTCTAAGCTTACTAAATACTAATGCTTTTGTCTGTATATTAATATAGTATAAAGTTTTTTATTTTTTTTTTATTTTGCTTTTTTTTTATTTTTTTACTTTTTATTTTTTATTTTATTTTATTTTTTTAGTAAATATTTATACTTGCAACATTGAAGAGCAGAAATCATCAACCAAAATTAGCTGCTAGTATTGTTTTTCTTGTAAAGCTGATAAAAGATTTCTATATTTTAAAGCATTCTTTAATTTATATTTTTTA